CAATACTTCTCTCTTCTAAAGATTCCTAATCTTGAAAAAGAGAAAGACGAAAATTGTTCTTTTGGGATGCATTCCTTGTGAATTTCAAGTGGTAATCTACATACATTATGAGAAAACAAAAGTTGATGAGGGAAATGAAATGATCTTGGTTCTACAAAGCGACATATGCTTTGTACAAGAAATCCATTTAGCTCAGGATTACGCTGGTAAATGGAATAGCAAATGTGTGATACCAGGTCAGATCATTCCTAAGCTAAGAAGCCATTCCTGGTTTATAAAAAATAAATAAATAAATACCCATAATATCAGATAATTATAAGTAAGACATACAGTATGCAAGATATGCTTGTGCTTTGAAGCATGTGCTTGTTTCTTTAGAAAACCCACCTCGGCAGTGAATGATATGTCTTTTATGGATAAAAACCATGTCGTATGTTAATCAATTATTTCTCAATTACCTGGTATTTGCGTACAGAAAATGAAATCTTTTCTATGCATGCAGCCTGTCATCCCTTGTCAAAGCACAATGTAGCCAGCTTGCCTATGCTTTAGTGAGGTCTGTCAGTGTATCAGAAGTGTGGGACGATGTGAATACATTCTGCTGCTGCTTTCAAAAGCTGGCAAAACAAAGCCATATTTTAATGATATACCATTATGTTCTCATATCCTAAAAACAACCAAGAGTTATACAAAATCATATGTCTCAAAAAGTCAGTTGTATTTTTTTAGTATTGAGAATTTGAAAATCTTAGTAGCTATCCCTTTGAAAATGAAAATATAACACATTCATGGATTTTCAATATTGTAATGTGCATAGACATAGATAAACCTTGATTCATTAAAGGCAATTGTAAAAAAAAGGCATTATTATTATTATTATTATTAACTTTACTCTTAATGGCATTGCACAGTTATCTGTTTTGAACAAAAAGATAAAGTAGAAGGCACCATTTAATTTAAATACATACATACATACATAAATAAATATTCCAGAGAAGGTACAAGGTACCAAAAATTTAATCAATGTGATAGTAATCTCAGCCACAATATCTAAATCCTTTATGTTAATTTATGTGACCCAGTTTTATATAACTCATCTGTTGTGCAAAAATGTATACTATAGCCTAGGATTTCAATCATACATATTCATTGGGTATTAGGGTCTCCATTTCCTGTCAGGCTGCATGTTCAGATAAAGGTCTAACATGGAATTTGGGAAGGATGTTTTTGTGTGGGATCTCCCTTGACTTCCACACCAGGCCACCATTAAGGAAAATGGTCTAGTATGCATTCTTAGGGGAACTGCATATCTTTTTTTTGTGTATGTGTATGGATCCCATTAACATCGATATTCAGAGTAAGTGTCTAGTATAGATGAAGGAAATTTCTGGCCATTTGTTTACAAACAGAATGAAGCAACCAAAGCTGTAATTTACCAGCAATTTAAAATGCATTTTTTCAAATGTCAGTTTGTAAATACACTGTATGTGCGCACCTCAAATGGCGACAAACTGAAGTACCCAAAATTTCCAAAGTCCCTACAGGTCATCATTTATGAGTAATTGCCCTAGTATTATTGTTCTCTTTCTGGCATACTCATCGATACTAAAAGGATATGTTCTCCTTTGGGAACATGTTACATGTTCCACCCATTTTTGGGGTAAAACATGTTCCCACTCCTGCAGCTGCTCCCTGATCCATGCACACCCTGTGACAGCAGGTCGGGGATCTTCCTCCCTGTACCTGCTTTCACCATTTGAAAAGAGTGTGGCTGTGCAGGAGTCTGTCCACAAGGCCACCTCATTTATTCACAGAGTTCTGTGAATGGGACAACTACAAGTACTGACAGCCTTTGTGGATGTTGAGAGCTCTATGAGGTATGAGCTGACAGCTTACGCAGATAATCTGCAGGAGTCCTGCATTGCTCCTGTGACCTGCTGATTGAGGATGCAATGCTTTGCAGGCTCCTAGAAAAAAAACAATAACATTTTTTAGCAGCACAAAGATGTTCATTTATAATTTTTTTACAAAGGTGAACATCCTTTAACATGTGCAGCACAATTGTCATTTTCAAATATAGCCATGCTCGACACATGTATATTTTGTTTCTTTTTTCTGTTACTTTAGCTTTGTAAAACTTTTTTCTTCCCATATAACATTTTATAGCTTTCTATGTAAGTACATATAGCCTTGTGACAGTTTTTTTTTTCTTTAACCCCTTCACGCCTAAGGGTAAAAAACAAATCTTAATGCCTAAGCACAATTTTGCAACGTTGACATGTGTTAGTAAAACCGTACATATCATCACAACTACTTTGTACATACTGGTGAATTATACCTTGTTTTTTCAGGACAAATTGGGCTTTCATTTGGTGGTAAATGGTAATGGATATCTCCTGATTTTCTTTTATTATCAAAGGAAAACTGGCCCAAAATAGTAAAAAATATTTTTTTTTTATTTAGCTGTATTTTTCTTGTTAATAACCTACCACCAAAGAACAACCCAAATAAATTCTCCAGGTTTTGACGATCACAGCGATACCATATATGTGTATGTTATTTGTTGTTTCTACTTGTAGTACAGCCCAGAAACAATAGTCCGCATTTTGTTTTTGTCTTTTTTTTTTTTTTTACCTAAAACACACTGACATTGACACTAACTGACACTGATACCATTTTTTAAAATCCTAACCTTTGACCCTGACCTTGACCCAAACAATAACCCTGGCACCGAACTAGATCAAACCTTGATCTAGGTATTTCTTTATATTTTATTTTTAATATTCATTTATCTTTGTTAAAAAAAAAAAAAAAAAAAAATTTCTCTCTGTGCCAGCAGTTAGAGAGATAGAGATCTCTCTTCTCCACATAGAGATGAAAAAAACAATCTGCACAGTGTCTGTTCACTGTGATAGCCAATCAGAGGCTATCACAGAGATCATGTGGCCTGGGATCAGGAGTCCTGGGTCCCGATTGTTAGAATGGGACCCGGGGCTCTTAGTGACACTGCGGTCTTTGTGCTGGGATGCGCATGTGCGTGCTCCCAGCACAAAGACAGGTACACAAATATGCGGCCCCACAGAAAAAAGCTCAGTTCTGTGAGGCAGCATATTTGTGTAACATCTGCGTCAAGGGGTTAATGAGACATCAGGGGACTATTAGACCCCTGATGTCTCCTCTATACTCTGCTAAAACTAAAGATGCACAGATTGTACTCTATTAGCTCCTTCCTTCTTCAGTGCTTCTGGAGAATGTTGTTGCTTCCTGGTCCATTCACTGGTAGGAAAATCACACCTGGAGAGAGGTGACACATACCATACCTGTCCAATACCCACAGGGGGAACAGTGGAGCCCAGGATACATGGCTGACAGTCAACTTGTAAAGTACACACACTTCTGGTGGCTGTAGCAGTGTGTTTAAAAGCCGCCACAGCCACAGACATAAGCCTTACAATGGTGGCAGTGAAAGGGTTAGAACTTATGTAAATATTGATGATGAACTTCTCTCATTTGCTCTATTTTGCTCCACCATTGTTTTATTATATCTGTTTTATAAGTACAAAAAAACAGTTAATCTAGTCAGAAATTCAAAGCTGTTCTGTATACAATTCCTTCGTTATCTCCAACTGCATCTTGAACTACAGCTTGATAACCTTTTCATTTTCGATATCTCACAGTGAGACTGACTGAGCTGTTTAGCAACTAATAACTGGTAGGGATGACAACACTGAGTCCAAAAAAGTGCAGTGTGTTGTCAGTCTACAACAAGATCACAGGAGATGGTGAGATTGGGAAGGCACCTGTAGTTTACAAGAGCAAATGAGCAGTGCTGGCACAATTTCTTACAATTTTAATTCAGAAAATACATTTTTTTCAGCATCCACAGGAAATTCAGATCTAAGTGCATTTCTGACAGATCAACATGTATTTCTCTGTAGTTTCAGGGTCTTTAGAAGGCTAAATCATGAGGGAAATGTACATGAATTGAAGAGATGTACTGCTAATATATTTTTTCTTTTAAATGTTGTCTTGACAACTACAACAACAGCTGCACTTTAAGATTGAAATCACAAAGGTAGTAAATGCAAGAGAGCAATAGTGCTTTTGTTTTTCAACCTCCATCTGACCCTTGTCTTACATGCATACCCATTGCTCTCCCACTCTTACCCCATTGTACTTGTTATATCACCGTGGAGGAAGCACCAACAATACCTACTAATGTGCAACACTTAGGGATCTATATATTAAAAAATTTGCTCTGCCAATTTCTCGGCATTCATACAAAAGTCACAAATAATACCCGTAATGTTTGTAATATGAATAAAAAGTAATGTTGCTTTTAGCAGGGCAAATGTAACATTCCTTTACTGAATGATCAATAAAAAGAGTTAAAGATGTAATTTAGACATTTAACCAATAGAGAAAATAGCTTAATGCTATAGGCTAAGAACATTTAATCATGAACATTTGAAGAGGAGATAACATGAGGGAGAATACCCCTTTTTTGTTCTGGTCAGATTAGCTGAACCTCCAGCTACAGTGGAAAGTGAAACTGCCAATGCTAAACATGACGGCTTCATGCTCAGGACTCCTGGTTGTTAGGTAGTCAGCACCTGCCAGTGGCTCACCCACATGGCTAATTCAGCTGTTAGCCAAATAGTTCCAGCTGACAGATAAAGGGGTGAGGATAGTGTAAAAAATGAAGTGGAGTCAACCTCCAAAATGTATACCACTTCATTCAGGTCTCTTATAGATTTTAAAAGAGACCACACCACAAGAAACCAGTAAAAAAAGGCCACTCCAGATTTCAAGACCCTCATTTGAGCATGCAGTTTGGCTGGGAGTGCGCATGGTATGGGTTTTGCAAGGGGGACCCATGCAAAAAATTAGAAAGTACCAGGCTTCCCCAAATACCAAACCCTCAAACAAGTTTGAAACCTGGCTGACCAGGAATGGGGTGAGATGAGCATGACCCCCTCTAAACTACATGACTTCAGCATGGAGGGGTAACTGGCACAGCACCTTGTACCCAGGGGCGGTCTGACTATTTGGAAACTCATGCCCTGCCCGAGGGCCCGGGGTCAGTAGGGGGCCCCATGAGATGCCCCTGGTACCTCTTTCATAGGCTTTTTGAGTTTGAGCAAGGACACAGGGGCCCCATGATCCCCTATTACCCGGGGGCCCCATGAGTTGTCAGTCTGCCCCTGCTTGTACCTATGTTGATAAGGACAAGGACTTCTTTTCCACAAACCTGGCCTGTTGGTTGTGGAGGTTTGCTGATAGAGGGCTTGTCAGAATCTGGGAACCACTTTTAAAAATAAATACCTCTCCTCAGTCATATAAAATGGAAATAGTAAATAAACACACCTTTTAACAAGTCCTTTATTCAAAATAAATTCCCACGAAGTAATTCCATCATAAAATACATTGTCCAGCAATGGAGATCCTCATTTGTCATGATAAACAATATCAGGAGTCTCCTAGGTTTTGCCATTGACCAAATATTGTTATTTCAGGATGTAGGCAATGACCAAATATGGGCATATCCATATTTGGCCATTGACAGCTGAATGTGCTGTGTGGGGATATTAGGACCCCAATGGCTTCCAGCTCCCCAACAATCAGGAGCACTGAGTGGATGAGCTGTCACATTCATCAGTGGTACTAATATCAGTGCTAAATGTTTTTCTTCCTGCCGCAGCTGGAATTTCTGCGTAGCCAAACACCTATTTAGCCATTTGCAACAGAACCTAGCAACAGACAAACCTGCAGCTGAACCCTAGATACCCTTCTTGGTGAATATTTTTTCTTCTTTTTCTTCTTGTTGAATATTCTTAAAGCTATTTTCTTTTTAGAATTGAATGTTAGGGCATATTGTATTCACACCGCAAAAAGTAACAACTAGAAAATGACATTTCATACATATTACAAACATTACCAGTATTATTCATAACTTTTTCTGTGAATGCTGAGACATTCAAAATGCAAATTTGTTATACTTAAATCTCTGAAGTGCCCCCCCCCCCCCTTTCCAGGATCATTTCTGCATTGGGGAAAGAGCTGTAAGACTAGAGGAAGAAGTGACATTATAGTGCTCAGAAAGGTTAGAAAAGGGAGCAGAGGAGCTGCATGATCACAAGAAAAAGAAAATAGAAGTAATAGTTTTTGCTGTGATATCAGATTAGTGCTCTGCAAGCTCTACAATACTACTCTGCTGATAAGCCTTTCCATGTTCTTTAACCTCAGTGATCTTCATTTACTTTCCTGCCTGCTGCTGTAAATGCTGATTGCGATGAAAAATATGTGTTTAAGCAGTATCATTTGGCAAGTTTGGTCAATTCAATTCAACACAAATTCCTTTTTGTACTATTTGGTCCACTGCTCTAGAATTAGGACAGAGTCAAGTAAGGTACATATAACCTCATATAACCTCAGGTACATATAACCTCTGATATTAATCATTAAAGATATCCAGAGTAAAGAAGATAGATTTTATCATCCAGCTTGATTTATGGAAGGGAAACTGTTCTTATGATGAAATGTTGGTACTTGCAAAGTATTATCTTCTTCTTTTGTGAGTCAGCGTACCGTTCCTAGATATGGGTAAGGCAATATCGACATGCCAAGTACTGCTCAGAAGCTTTCTACTAAAGTGGCTGCAAAGCTCTTAAATGGTCTACGAAATGTCGGTGTCTTAAAAATTATTGATTAGACATTCGTGTCTATCCTGCCCCCACATGGTGGTCTTCATATCTCAGGAAATGTACAACAGAATTTTATGCAAATCTGAAAAAAAAAACATAAAAAATAGCTACATTTATTGTAGATGATTTTACAATAATGCAAATGCAGTTGCCTAAAATCTATTTTTCCATCATGCCATACAGAGTACCTAATACCAGTCTAAGAGCATAACGTTAAGCATTTTAAGCCAGTCAGGTCCACAGGTCTGTCACTTTTATATGACTTAAAGGTCAAGATTTCATAGTTACTATTTAGGTTGATTACAGGAATGTGATGGTGGTGAGAGGATGCATGTAGTGTGAATATGCTTACACATAGCCAAATAAATATGTAAGCAATACAGGAGACCGCACACCTGTTATAGGAAACAGTGGTGTCACATGGCTGACAATATTGAATGACAAGTGTGTTTTTTTTAGTCATAAACTCAAGATTTTTTAGAGATTAAATTGCTCTTTTGTGCTTTCTGCATATAAGAGGTTCTAAAGACTTAGTATTTTTTTCTTTCTCTGCTTTAAGTTAAAACATATTTTGTAAAAATCTTCCCCCCCAAATACTTACCTGAGCCTGATCTTGATCCAGCACTGTGCCCAAAGAAAGTGGCAGGACAGAGAGGCAGAAGCAGGGGCCATTGACTCCTGCTGCTGCCATTTAAATCCTGGAAGAGGGAATGGGGGTGGTAGAGTGGTGCTGTCTGTGTCTATGGACACTGGCAACAGGGCTCAGGATTGAGTACCCCTATAGGAAGCCACTAACTATGAGGGCATCCGCCAAAGAGGAGGAGCCAGGAGAGCCAGCAGGGGACCCCAGAAAAAAAGGATTGGGGCTGCTCTGTACAAAACCATTGCGCAGAGCAGATAAGTATAACATGTTTCTTAATAAAAACAAAAAAAAGGTTAAAAATCATTTTAAGCTAATCTCATCATATTAACCCATGGGGAATGTAGCAGGTCACATTAAAGTCAATGTGATAGAAAGAAAGATATCAATCTCTAGGGATTGTGATATCAGGATTAATTCACAAAAACTGTCTGCATAGCCATGTGATAGGAATGTCAGAACAGACAAACATTTATGACAGTAAAATTGTTTATATAGTTCAATTTTGTTACATTATTTCAGCTGTAGGCTCTTTGGCTCAGGCTCAGCTTTTCATTTTCAATTTCTTAATTGAAATTTATACAGAAGAAGAGATTACAGATAGTGATGTATAATCAGTTAACAATGTATGATCAGGTATCAAAAAACATAAAAGCTATTATTCCTCCCCCCTTAGGGGTTCAGCTTTTAATACAAATTATAACATATTTCAGTGAAAAAAAAGTCTTATTTACATAAATATAATTTTTGCATATAATCAAATTTAATGTGTTTTAAATCCTACATTGTATTGCCAACACTACATTGCACATACAGATTTGTAGATTCTGTTTTATATGGCTGTCAGTATTTTACAGAAACTATTATACATCTTATTTAACATAATCTAAGCCATATATAGAGATACAAAGAATTCATGGTTTCATCTAGCCTCCAGGCTGGTGAATTTACACTGTGGGAGCTAAAAAAAAAATAAGGCTAAATCAAATGTAGCATTAGTAATCAGGAAGCAGAGCCTGCATAATATAAGTAGCAAATATATTTACCCTAATTTACAAATATAATTATGAAATATAAAGTGCATAAAAACCCTTATAAGACATGAAAAGGCACTAATACTATTATTTACAGGAATCTTCAAAATGTACACCATGCATTTTTAAGTAAACCATGAAATACAATAATATTATACATTTATAATTTACAACTAAAATACATTTTGAATAGTTTTTTAGTAAGGTCCAGATCAAAACATAGCATGAAATTTTTAGTTCAATTGTTGAAAAATGGAAAAAAAAAAGTAAGAAAAAAGAAGTTGCATGACGTGGTATTCCCAACCAGTACCCAACTGGATATTCAAGCACTTCCTGCCCAGCCTATAGGAAAATGACGGTTGGACAGGACTCTCGTTGATCCGGGACAGAGTCATATGACGTCCTTCTCGGACCACTCCTTGCATGTGCCCGCAAGGGAAAATGTTACCAGCACACCAAGGATCACTAATATGGGTCCAAAGGTTTTAATTAACGATCACATAGTTACAGCAAGGCAAAGTTTTGGAGTCTCATAGGACCCCTTCATCAGGCATGTTGCCTTGCTGTAACTATGTGATCGTTCATTAAAACTTTTGGACCCATATTGGTGATCCTTGGTGTGCTGGTGATATTTTTCCTTGCTGATTCTATTCGGTTCCAGCTGACAGTCGCTGCAGCACCCACTTATACACAGCCATTTTAACGCAGAAACATGTGCGTTTGGATTGTACACTTGCATTTTGCACGTGCCCGCAGGGCGAGTTCTGTCACTGGCTGTGTACCTCGGACACAGCTAAAGACAGATCTGTGTACCGGCCCCATTGCCAGTACCATGTGACCTGCTGTGACCAATCACAGCAGGTCACATGACAGTTGCAAACAATGAATGGCTTCCTTTCATGCTATCCATTGTATACGAGTGTGTCTAGCTGTGAATGGTCACAGTGATCACATGAACAGGTTGGGCCAATCACAGCCCATCTGTGTCATGTGATTAACCATGGACAATCACAGCTAATCACAACAACAAAAAAAAACCTGAATAAATCAATTTCGTTCAGTTAAATGCTTGCTTATAGCAAAGAAAGTCTGTGCTATAAGCAATCAAATTGTGTAAAAAAAAAAATACTGATCACTTCCCAAAAGTAGTACAATGTTACTATGGTAACATTATACTACTTTGGTCATAGTGTATTATGAAAAGGAATCTTAAAAAAAGAGAAAGAAATTTAATAAATAAAATAAAAATTATCAATTTTTTTTTGTACTGTCATCAGTCAGTGTCCCTGATCACCGTCATACTAGTTATATGATGATGCTGTATTGCACTGATAACAGTATGTAAAAAAAATTTGTGAAAATAATTTATTTAATTTTTTCATTTTCCAAAATATTATGACAGAAAAACTTCAAAAAATTTGCCATACCTCTTATGAAATAAGTTGGACTGTCTACTTTGCAAAAAGGGGTCATTTGGGGAATATCTGTACTGTTCTGACATTTTTGGACCTCAAGAAATTAGATTGGCTGTCAGTTCTTCAGGATTGATCAATTTTCAGATATATCCCATAGTCTGTGAACTCTATAACTTTCCTACAGACTAAATAATACATCTTAATTTGGGTTATTTTCACCAAAGACATGTAGCAGAATACATCTTGGCCTAAATGTATGAAGAACAATTATTTATTTGCAAACTTTTATAACAGAAACAAAGAAACTTTTTTTTTTTTTTTAAATTTTCAGTCTTTAACAAAAAATAAAAACCCCAGCGGTGATTAAATACCACCAAAAGAAAGCTCTAGTTGT